CACATCAAGCAGATAAAGAGGTGGATGGGACGATGCACGGAGTGAGCTGGAAATGAATTTTTCAGCGCAGTGAGATGTTCTATTTGAATAAATCATGACACTTAAGATAGACATGAGGGCAATATAGAGGTGCCCACCGCTACTTTGAGTAGTAGCACTCCAAAGGAACGGAGTGAAGTGTGTGAGATGGCCTCTATCCGTCCACGTAACCCATGTGTGTTTTTACATATTTAGATTTTTGATATTTTCTTATTTAGTCAAGTTGTATCTACTGGTGTGCATCTGATAGTAAGCTATGTTGGAATGGATGTTTCTCTTCCAGTCTTATCTAAACTGGGCCACCGCTGCCTGTTACAGTGTGTGTCCGAGGCCGAGGGCCAGGCCCAGAGACAGACCTGGTTCTGGATTATTAATGTCCTCCCCTGTGGAGCCGGGCCCCCTCCCCCACCCAGTGCCCCCCTACACCCCTGGGGTCAGCCTGCATGGCTCCTGGTGCAAGGCCCCCCTCATAAATCTCCCTAAATTAGTGTGTGTATGTGTGCATGCGCGCGTGTGTGTGCTTCCATGCTTAAACGTATACTGCAGGCAGGGAGACAGGTCACCACGAAAACAAGCCAGTCAGGCTCTTGGTTGAAGTGTCAGTGATGCATGGCGGAAAGAGCGAAAGAAAGAGTTGCAGAGAAAAAGAGAAATGAAACAGAGGGGAAGGAAAAGAAAATACACAAAGCAGGAGTTGAGGGAGATATTTGATTCTGTGAGAGCGCCGGACTTCACTTTTAGTTCAGCCGCCTATTTGTTACAGCTTTTTTTTTTTTTTTTCTGTGCGCTGTAACGTTATATTTGCTTACAAATATTTACACTTAATTCGAGCTCGCCTCTGACTTCATTAGGATCGATTTCCTGAACAAATCTTAATGCTTAATTGCTACAGAGCGGGATGCTCCATCCTTCTACCTGCCTAGATTAGTTCAACATGTCCCACGGTGGTAACAGGCATGGGGAAGTGCTGTTGTGTCACTTAGTTAACCCCCGAGACAAATGGCTCCCCTCCGGAGCACAGTGAATTACACACCTCATGAAGCATATTAGGAGCCAGACACAGTGCTTTTCTTGTGGAGATGATCTGTACAGCAGAAATGGATGGAGGGAGCGAAGAGGGCTGAGTTATGGCATCACCCGCAGCCATTTTTACAGCGCATCGGCATCAGAACAAAACAGAGAGAGGAGGGGCGAAGGCATAAAGAAATGAGGCGCAGAGATGTACAGCACAGTTTTTAACAAAAGGCTGAGAAGATGAACAACCCAGAAGTATCGAGGAAGATAAAACCGCAGTTTTAAAGTTATCTATGTTAAATTTGACAAGGAAAACAACTCTTTACCTCATTTGCGGCTAATGTTGGAAAATTATTAGAAAATCTTACAGAATTGTCCCTCGGAGGCTCCCTTGCTGTTAGCTAATCGCTTAGACAATCTTTATCACCACAGTAATAATATTTAGATGCTACAGGGATTACTTAAAAGTTGTGTTATAATTGCTTTCCTTGTTTTGTTTTTTATGGGCAGAGGGTGATTTTGTGTTTAATTGCTCCAAAGTGACAAATAATGCCCGTTATGATATGATGAAAGTGTGAGGTCATTAAATTACTACAGCGACCGGCTGCATTTATTCGTTCGTTTTCGCTTTTACAAATTTATGCCACGAGGCTTCAAGAGGCCAAGCAGTTATTTACACAAATTCACTTCCACAGCTATTTCTGAATTTGGGGGTAATTACGTGAGAGCAAAATGGTTTTATTTCATTTAATCCAGCCGGTGCAGCAATTTGCACTGGTAATATTTGTAGCGTGTGGAGTCTGCACGGTAAAACAGCTCGAAACCAGCAAAAGCTTCAAATACAAACAAGGTAGAGGAGAGCAATACTCCAAACATGAGTCTCTGCAGGAGACAATAGCTTCTATAGACCAACTGTCTTCAGAGGAGATGCTGCTTTAATTTTAAAACATCATGTGCAGAATGTGAAGACTAGAAGAATAGAAATGCTGAGGTAAAAAGACAAAATACTTCAACATTTAATTCACATTTTTCAAAATAGTTTTGCCTGTAAACTGTATTCTATACATTTTATGTGTCCACGTAGTTAAACTAAAGCTGTTTTAAAGCTTTTTCCACACACAAAAAGTCTAAATTAGGGATTTGTGGTCTTAAAAGTTATAAAATTAGCCTTAAAACAAACACAATGACTCATTTCTGTGTCACTGTAGGATGTAAATACCAAAAAATAAAAATTACCGTGGTCGCAGAAACTGATTTTACTGTGGCAATTTTTTTTTTTAAATGTCTGATTTCATTCACTATTTTACACTCAATCTGAATATTGTGCCTTTGTGTAAAGCGATGATTCCCATCTAGGGGCTTTTGTACCCCCTAGGGGGTACTTTTGCAGTAACCAGGGGGGGCATTGCAGGACAGACCCACAATAAATTTGGTTTTCATTGATCAAAAAGTGTAAAAAACACGATAATAGGGAGCTTAAGAGAGCACTTGAGAGAATTACAGGGTATCGTCAGCTATCTGTCCATATTTACCGGTCAGCTGTCAATCAGATTATCCATAAATCCTTATGGTAATCTCTTTGCTGTTGCATATCAGCCACCACCACCACCACCACCACCACCACCTCCCCCCTTGCTCCCAGCGCACACCCACACTCTGTTGATCCATGTAAATGTGTGCAGTGGTGATTCCAGTCCCTCGGCTCCCGGTGGAGATGAGATGGAGCACGGAGGCATCAACTGGCTGCAGTTTTGTAATGTTTCCATGCGGCTGACTCCAGACACCTTGAGTCATGTAAATAATGAATCAGATGATCCTCACATGCAGGACATCGAGGGGACGTGCTGACAAGTAGCGCAGCGGATGAGGCATGCAGACTTTCTCTTTCGCGCTCGGTATTCCAGCAGTCTTACTGTTTTTTATTTCTTTCCCCACCACCACCACCACCACCACCTCCTCTCTCCTCCTCTCTCCTCCTCCAAACTCTAATATTTAACCTCCTGATTTGGTCACCTCTGACTTGGGTGACCCTAACTCTCCTCCCTCCACTTATCCATCATCCATCCATCACGAACACCTCAGAGGAGGAGGAGAGGGACAGTTGGGGGAAAGAGTGGAATCAATGAATTAAACAGGAGGTGCAGTGAGGAAGGTGGAGTATGTTGGACAAGTGGATGTAGTCCACAGCTGTCTATGAGGCTGCACCCTGACCTCGAGGAGATAAGAAAGTTGGGAGACCCTCAGTCTGTGGGGTCTAACAGCCACTGTAAAAAAAAAAAAAAAAAAAACTCCATCTCTCTGCTTCATGAATTATTGAGATATTGGCCTACAGCTTCTAAAATATACAGGAGGGTGGTCTGTCTCTCCTTTCAGATTTCACATACTGTCTACCTCGTCCTTCTGTCTGTCTTTCTATCAGTTTCTCCTCTCACTTTCTGCTCTCCTGTCTCTCTGTTTTATTTTATTTCTTCCCTTTAGCCCCCCCTTCTCATTCAGATTTGGCCTCTTGCGCCAGCGAGATCGTAAATCAGAACACAAACAAAGCCAAAGGGAAAAAAAAAAAAAAAAGAAAGAAAGAAAGAAAAAGAAACGGAGCATCAGAGAAAGACAGTTTGTTATTCACATCATAAGAGGCTTTTTCTTCTTCACTTGAAGAGGAGCATCTACCACTAACCAGCTGTCATGCATTTAAAAGTTGTCAGGGATAAATTCACGAGTTCTTGTGTTACATCAGATGCTTGTAATGCACACAGCAGTAGGCTGGCCCTTGAAATGAGACAGAACTCTGCTCTGTCCATTTATCTTCTTTGCTCTCTTGTTTTTTTTTCTTTTTTCTTCTTCTTCTTCTTCTAGATGAAGCAATTGTCCAAGGCACGCTGCTGCTTACTGTGTTTCTCTTGACATGTCTGTGTGTGTGTGTGTGTGTGTGTGTGTGTGTGTGTGTGTGCAGTTGCTCGTGCATGATTATATCTAAGGCAGTTGGCTCCAAACGCGCTGCCCAGTGCAGAATCCTAGCCATAACAAATGAACAGAGGGGAGAAAATAAGACATATGAAAGAAAAGCTGAGCAAAGGAGTGATTCTCTCACTGGCTGGTGGAGATCTGTATTGTAAGCAGTTTCAGCTGTCAGCACTTCTTTGAGCTACCTCAAAGGGAGGAGGAGGGTGAGGGGGTGGGAAATGTTGTAGTTTTATTTTCCCCCTTTTGAGGGTTCCTGTTTATTTGTACACGGTGCTGTTTATTTTCGTGGTTCATTTGATTTTTTTCTTTTTTTTTTTTTTTTCTTTTTCACGGAGACAGACAATGCAGAAGGGAGAGTGAAGGGATGTACAGTACTGTAGTTTCAGTTAAAGAAGAAGTTGTCAGGCTTGGAGCCTTTGGGGTGGGGCTAGGGAATAAATTGTCAGCCGTCCCCTTTCTGTTTTTCAGCCCACCCCCCCAACTCTCCCCTTTACTCCTCCGACCCTCCCTCCTGCCTCCCTCCCTCATTAAGTATTGATGTGGGTAGCCATACTTGCCATCTCAGCCTATTAATAATGCATGGCAGGTGCTGTTGATGTGGTCTCTCACACTGAGATTGAGAGAGGCAGGAATGGCAACACTATGCTGCAGAGTAGCTACAGCACAACCTCCGTCACACGGCTGTACAGCTTGGGGGGGCCCACGTCTGCCCCGGCGAGTTTATGGCGAGCTGTGACAGCAGCTCCGAGATGGATATACAAGGTAGCATCTTACTTAATATCCCGGAGCTGTTTTTACATAGAAAACTTCCTTTGTCATAAACATCTGATGGATGAGGGAGGGATAGTCTATGAGCCTTGTCTGCCGCTGCTGTTTTATATCTGTTTTGTGTTTTATTGAAGTAGCTCACACTGGTCTTTCAGTGACTCTCAGTTGCTCTTTCAGTAGCTCATCTGATTCTCTCTCTGTCTCTTTATCATACGCAGGTTCTTCCTCAAGTTCTTCCTGAAGTGTAACCAGAACTGCCTAAAGAATGCAGGGAACCCTCGAGACATGAGGCGTTTTCAGGTGACGCACGACTATCTAAAAGCATACGATAATGTAACAATATGGGCCTAACTCTGTCAGTGTTTTATTGCAAGGCACCAGACACAGCCACGGCATAACCTCACTCCCCCTCGTAGAATAAAACAAAGCACTCTCAGGATGTCTCTCCTGGGAGAAGTCCAGACGAGCATAGCATGTTCCAACGTAACAAAAGGATAAATGAAATTGTCCTAAAAATCAATGAATAGCCAAATATTATTCAAGTATTATCATCACAACAAAAATCTTAATTCATAAGACTCATGTACAGGTGTAGATAAACACAGGAGCTCTTGCGCTGATGATTATTGTGCCTCTGTAACACTATGAACAAAGCTGCATGTCAACATGGCCTCAATAATACATTATATTTTCTTGCTTGCCAAACTTCTCTTCTAATCACCAGGTTTACGTGTCAATTAATATATAGTCATAAGAGCTTCAGTGCAAAGCAACTGGACTTTTGGTTCCTGAAGACGTTTCACCTCTCAGTCAGGGGGCTTCTTTAGAATTCAGGATTACAATGACCTGGATGGAATCGACACAGACAATAAATATTCTCTTTACAGCTTGTGTTAAACATGGCTATAATCTATATCTTTTTTATAACAATGGATCAATAACTGTGTAAAAATGTGATGAACCCATAACATATTATTACCCAAGTCTGCATTCCTCATATTATCATATTATTTTAGCATCTCTTAGCTCATTGTTTTGACAACTTTACTGTTTTGCAGGAGTCTTACTGCTCTCATAGCAGTTTTCAGAAAAATAAAACTCAACTGTACACTGGCCGCCTGCCACCGGAAAAAAACATATGCACAGTTTGCGACTAGCTGGTAAACATAGTGCAGCATTTTGTTCTTAAAGAGCCTGACATTTCAGTCAGGAGGTGGTGGAGACCAAAACATAGCTAAACGGACAGTGATTCATTACTGCTTGATGTATAAGTGAGCTAGTAGCAGCTGTTAACTGGCATGTCAGCACAATCAGCTTTCAAGGGTTACAGCAAGTTAAGTATAAGTGCAAAACAGTCAGTTATGCCAAGTTTAAAGTACACTAATTTGACATTTAAAGCAAAAAACGCTGAAAGCAAATAAATGACCTCCTATCAGGCAAAAGAGTGCAACACATGCTGCTCATCAAATAAAACAAGCACTAAATCTTCTGTACAGATGTGCGTTACCTTTCATAGAGTTAATGATTCTACCGTGCAACATGTTTAGTCCCATAAAATATGTGAAGTTTTGGATGAATAGGAGTTATGCCTTGTTCATAACTTGCTCATAGTGAGCAGAACAACATACAAACTACAGCACACAGTAAGAAGTGCCGTTTCCATCACTAGTTACTCAGTATCTCTTGGTTTTCTTTTTCTCAGGTGGTCGTGTCGACCACAGTGAGCGTGGAGGGTCACGTCCTGGCCGTCTCCGACAACATGTTTGTGCACAACAACTCCAAACACGGGCGTCGAGCTCGAAGACTGGACCCCTCGGAAGGAACACCATCCTACCTGGAACACGGTATTAAAAGCATGAACAAAACAGCCGGGCTCTCGCTCCTAGCTTTCTTTGTCTTCTTCACTTTCTTTCTCTCTCTTTGACTCCCCTCCCTCCCTCTCTCTCTCATCCCCTTCCCTCCCTCCCCACCATGTCTGGCTCCACACTCAACCTCTCTTCTGTCTCCACTCTATTCCCCTCAAACCTGCTTTCTTTCTTATCTCTCTCCTGTTTCCTCCCCGGATTCTCACTTTCCTCTCTTGTAGGGTTTCTAACTCGAGCTAAGAGAGGAGTGAGTGGTAGCTAGCGAGTCTCTTGTCTCTCCCTTGTGGCTTGCTCCCCTCAGGTCTCTGCCTCTGGGCCTTCTACTCTGCCTCGCATAAGCACTATGTGTCTTATGAGGTCTGTTCTGCTTAAAGCCAACACTGGCTTTATTTCCTCGGAGACCTGCTTTTATCCTCCAGCCCTCCATCACTCCCCATCCCTCAGGTTTTCAAACACACCCATACACACAGTAAAAAGCCCATGCACACACATACACTCCCCCCACATGCACAGTCAAACCCAAACCTTTAATACTTCATAATGACATGTGCACATGATTTAGGAGCCTGCACTGATTCCCAACTCCCTAATCCAGTTATTTTCTCATTTCGATTTCCCAGACATTGAATAAGAGAAACATATTTTTTTTCTTTGAGGAAAGTCAACCTCAGGGATGATAATGACAAAAAAACTAAGAAGGGATTTACATGATGGCCTATACTAGATTGCATTAAGATTGAATGTTATGGTTAAGTCTTTCTAATGACTATTCTCCAGAGGCAAGGTGGACCACTTGTCCCTGCGACTGGTCTCGCAGATGATTAGAAAAGTTCACAAAGACGAGACATATTGGAGACGTCAGTGAAACTTGGATCTTACACAGAGGGAAGAGTGCATACAGTACAATAACAGATGTTCCCTGTGTCAGAGAGATTTGTTTGGGAATTTCCTCTTCTCTGATTTTCTGTTCTCCTGGTGACGGGGACTTAAAAGGAGGAACAAGAGGAGTGAGAGAACAGAGGGTGACATGGAAAGTTCGCGGGCACGATGAGCAGAAGGGGTAAAAGTGCATGATGGTATAAAGAAGAGATAAAATGATAAGAAAGAAGACAGCAGCTTCTTTCTTTCTTTTTTTTTTCTTCTCCCCTCTCCCATTCTCCCCGTCTAGTGTGTGTTGAGTTTTGTGTGCAGGATACACAACTTTGGGGCCCATTTCAGGCAGTAATAGATGAGCAGTGCATAGAGTTGAACAGATGGCATCGAGGAACACCCCAAAGTATAATCCTATCACATGGATTCACGTTCCACCATCTGGTTAATCCACACACACACACACACACACACACACATAAACGCACACATCCACACATGCACATTGAGCGCACATAATATCAGCGGCTGTGAAAAGGAGGCATCTTAGGCCATGATTACAGCCACAGATTGCTGCTTGGTGAACGCTGATCTCTGCAGGCGTATCGGAGGGCTAAATATCATTCCAGCTTGTTGGGGAGGATCAACAGAACAGGGAGTCAGGCAAAGAGCAAAGGCTAGGCTGCAGGGAAAAAAAAGTCAGCCTAGTCTGAAGTGGATTATGCCGCTTTACAGAATTACAGCATGTCTGACAAGCTGCATATCTGTTAAGGAGAGGAGATTTAGCTTGTATAAACATGTATTTTCCCCAATGCTGTTCTTTTCTTCAATCACATCCGGTAATCTCCAAGTCCATAACACCGACAGATGAGGTCGAAAAGCACATTGAATACCAGTTATTGAAAATATGCTTTATTGTTGTTATTCCGTGTATTTTGTCCGGTAAGTTGCAAAGAATATGCTTTTTTGGAGGAAACATCAAAAGCTTAACAAAGCACATTACAAATACACCAAGCGGGAGCTGAAACCGGCCCGTGCCGTGGTCCGGCGAGCTGGGGAGAGCCACGACATAGATATGTGAAACAGACAGCTGAGCAAGAGCTAAGTGTTTGGTTAATGAATCCGGTGTATTCAGAGGGCAGAGCTACTGTTGGCTCTGCTCTGTTCCCCGGTCGCATGGCCTTTGATCAGACACTGAGCACACCTGACATTTACACGCCCGCACGCTTTGCCACGTGTCATAAAACAAGCGCACTGCCGCTGCCCTCGCACACAGGGCAGGGGTGATGTTTAATAACGGGGTGCGTATAATCACTCTGATTAGTATTCCTCGCTCGCCCCCGACCCCCGGGAGAGAGGCGAGAGGTGATGTATGCGTGTCTGTGTGTGTGTGTGAGTGTAAAACAGACAGAGAGAGAGAGAGAGAGAGAGAGAGAGAGAGGGAGATGGAAAGAAGAGAGGACTGTACATGGTGCCAATAGGAAAGACCTCTGATGGCTGTCATTAGGTTAGTTAGCATCTAATCTATTATGTCTGTGATTTTTTCAAATGTTTTCCAGCAACCCCCAGCATCAAAGCCATCAGCCCCAGTGAAGGCTGGACCACAGGGGGCGCAACAGTCATCATCATCGGGGACAACTTCTTTGACGGCCTGCAGGTCATCTTTGGAACCATGCTAGTGTGGAGTGAGGTCAGTCGCCAAGTAGTCGTCTCTGTGTGCAGATGAGTGCAACCTGACTGCATTTTAAATATTAAATAGAGGCTTTCCCACACTACTGTAAACTACTCTTGTTTTTTTTTTTGCCTGGGGTCCCCTTATATTGAACCAGTGTCTTCCTGTGCCCACTTATCACAGGTTATTGCCTTGGTGTGGCTCTGATTGGAGAGCAGCTTAATAAAACATTTTTTTTCCCCCCCAACTCTATTTGCTTAATTTGCGACCCCCTCAGGTTAGGACTGACTGTTTTTACATTACGTCGCATACAGTTCCATTAGCTGGTTAGCTAATGCTGAAAAGTGACAAAAATTACCTTTTTTTTATATATATAATTGTAATTGAATCCATTTGAGAGAACAAGCAAACTGAAAAAACCACCACGCTGTAGTCTCTTAAAACTTGCAAAACTCATTTATCATTATTTTTCTAATATTTTATAGCTTGGGAATGTAATCAACTAATTGAAATAAGTAATAAATGGATTAATTAATATTAAAAGCAGTAATTAATTGCATCCCTGTAAGTGCATAATCTGAAATATTTTACAATCTGAACAGCAGCCTGCAGTCTCATTTCTCTCTGTGGCAGCTCTTATTTCTGTCATATCTCCGTTCACCTCCCCTCCTGTCTTTTATTATGTTACTATCTGCCTTCTTGAAAATATGTGCACATCGTACAGTATGAGTCCCTTTGTAAAGGAGCATCTGCCACATGACTAAAATGTAAATGTAGTGTATGTGTGAAATTGAAGGTCAGTGAGCAGCGCAGCTAAACAGCTTTCTCTTTAGTAAAGGAATAATTCTATAAAAAGCTCCTATATTATCTCGCTGAGAGGTGAGTGGGGCCAGACAATGGTAGAATGAAAGCCTGGCTAAGTGAGCAATGAAAGGGACAGTTAGAACAACACACACACACACACACACGCACCCACACACACACACACATGCACGTACACAGAGTGCTGGCAGCGGCATTGATAGCTTTTGAGCACTGCTAGCTTTGAGTGCTAGTTCACTATAGCGTGCAGAAAACGAGCACTCAGTGAGGTCTCATCTGTGTTTTGTCTTGTTACCGTTTTCCTTCAAAGACCCTTCAGCGTGCGCACACACACACGCGCGCATGTACGTGGCGAGTGGGCTCATCAGCCACACTAAGCGAGCCTGTTTAAGACACAGTGGTGCTTTAATGTGACTAACGGCAGCCAGACAGCTTCGGCTGACAGACACAGAGACAGGGGCAGCGGAGACAAGCGTATTATACATTTACTTATACTCTTCAATAGACGTATGCAGAGGAAAGTGTGTTTTATTCATAAACAGCTAACTGCTTTTGAACCCCCTCTTACAGAGTCCATGTCAGCACTGATAACCATCCTAAGCCTCACAGTGACATTGCCTTGGGCTACGAGGCCACCTGAGGGCTTTAGCGCTAACACATCATTTTCAGGCTTATTATACAAAGAAAGAAAGTCAAAGCTGCGCGGGGAAGGTCTGAGACGAGAGTCGAGAACAGTCCCCCGAGCACATGTTTAGATATGAAGTTTCACTGCATTAATCCGCCTGCTCGCTCTGCTTCTCCGTAGCTGATCACCCCCCATGCCATTCGTGTGCAGACTCCACCCAGACACATCCCCGGGGTGGTGGAGGTCACACTGTCCTACAAATCCAAACAGTTCTGCAAAGGCACACCTGGACGCTTCATCTACACAGGTACGATTAATTTACAATCTGAAGAGGGGGATAATGCTCACCCAATCTGCCAAACTGCTGCCTTTTTCTAATGCAGTTTTCTCCAAGATTCTCTCAGTTCTACGTACAGCTTATGAATACAGCATAGTGTGGAGAAAAAAAAGAAATAATCACATAAAAATTCTTTGCACACTGGCTTTAAGTTTTATTAAGTCTCGCTTTTTTGCTATATCTGCTAAAAGCGATGTGGTGAACAGTTCATAAGCTGTCATTTCTCCGCACCGTGTCTCGGAGACAAAACGTGCATGCTAAACAATTTAAAATTCAATAACGTGACTCAATAATTCAGCGAAAAAGCCTGCTGATCAGAGGAGGAAAAGTATTTGCCCTCTTTTTTTATGAAGCAGGTGAAGGTCAGGAGGAGGTTTAACCTTTTGATTAGTGGGATTATTGAGAATTAACCCTGTCGAAGGCGTGATTCAGAAAGGAAGAGGCCCACGCGGGAGAGTGTGCGCATGAATAGCTCGAGTGTTACATCAGAGTATATCGGTGCAGAGTTATAGCTATGCGGTGAAAAGAGCGGCGGAGAGAGTGAATGTGAAGCGGTGATTAACCAATGCGAGGCCACAGGTCCTCTGGGAGATTGTGAATCACATAAATCTGTCTGTAATCTCAACCACTGATAGACTTAGGCTGTAAGCCCCGGCTGGAATTGCCAACATTTGACAAAATCACAACTGAGAGAGAGCGTGTGCGTCGCATCACCAAGCATGCATTTTCTGCATGTTGTGTGTGTCCTAATTACTGTGCATGGACCGAATCCACGGCCACGCGTCACAGTTATGACTCGGTTTGTGTGCTTATGGGAAAGACTGCGATAGGGTGCCTGTGTTTGTTTGCACATATGTGTGAATGTATACCGAGCACACACATGCACGTTGACAAGTAACTGCATTACTAAGACAGAGGGCAGATGGGTGGGCAGCCTTTGCCATGCCAGAGCTGTCCAACAGCCCACAGTCTGCCAAACTCATAGAGCTGTGTGTATTTAAGTGTGTGCTGGTGTGTATAAGTGTGTACGCAGCCTTTTAATGTGCCAGACATGTGGGAACCGTATGCATAAACGCCCTATCGCTTCCCAGCCCTCCACTCTTTCACCTTGTCACATTCACTTATTCAAAACTTGCTTCTTTGAATGAATTCATCCTCCTATCGCTTTCTCTCTCTGCCTCTTGGCTTCTATGGAGGCGCATAGAAGAATCTCAACAGGTGAGAGGTAGCAAGAGGTCACCCACTGGGAGCTGAACACATACACTGTGAGGCTGCTTGCCAAGCGCTGGCATCTTCACAGTGACACAGTCAACCGTGTCGAGGCATGGATCCCACTTCTACTTTTCGCACACTTCACTTCAGCCACTGCTATGTACCCTCAGTGGGTATTTGTACCTCTCACACAGCTCCTTTATCAGCCCTCCTTTCTTTTCTTTTTTTTTTTTTTTATTATCGTTTTTCCTTTCTCCCAGCCGAGGAGGAACCTGTTCACATTTGGTGCCTTGAATACGAGGCGGAGAATGAATTTGGAGCAAAAAAAAGAAGCAATTGATGTGAGTGGAGAGAGGTGGAGGAGAAAGAGGAGAGAGGAGAAGGATGCAATGGAGGGATCGAGGATTACCATGGGCCATGTTGCCCTCCTGGGTCTGTTTGGCACCAGTTTGAGCCCAGTTGCCAGTGGGTACTAATCATGGAGGATTGGCAGCACTGCGTGGCAGCTGGCAGCTAGCACACGCACACGTCCACACAGCCACACACTAGCAGACATGCATATACTCATATATTACATGTGCATGCACGATCACACACACACACACACGCACGCACACACATGCACACACATGCACACACTCTGAATTACATTGGGGACAGCTGGCATTGCTAATCAACTTCTGCTGAGGAGAGGAAAGCGAGCAGCTCACAGACCTAATTAAGTCAACACATACCCAATACTGCTGCTACTGCTGCTTTGCAAACATAACCAACACACACACACTCACACATAACCCTATCTATAGGTTTATCCCCCTCTCACACACACACACATACACTCACCCTCCTCTGAGTGATTATTGATACTACAGAACCAGCCGCCGCCAAATGGAAAGAAATTCAGCTGTAGCTCCGGACAGAAGAGACAAGCAGGGGGACTTTTGGTGCAGAGGAGATTCGGAGGGAAGCTATTACAGTAATGTGTCCTCTGCCGTCTCTGAGGACTCCTCTGCCATTAGACTTCAGAAAGCTCCAATTAGACTCATCAAAGGCAATTAAGCTATCCACTGATAAGAATAAAAGAATGTTTTTTTTTTTCATTGCCTGCTCTTCCTCTGTCTTTTTATCCCCTTATCCCCCTTCTGTTCCTCTCTCTGCCCTCTGCCTTACCCACCTCTGGGGCTGAGAGCTCTCCCTAATCTCCCTCTCCCGCTCTCTCTCTCTCTCTCTCATTATCAGGTCATTGCCTGCCCCTCTCCCCCCCTGTCCCCCGCTCCCCTGTACAAATGCATCTCCATGTTTGGTTGTGTATCACCTTTTACTGGATTGCTGTCTTTGTAACATTCATCAGGGAAGCTCTCCCTTTTCTTTTCTCCACGCAATATAAAGTGATAATACTCCACCAGTGGGGCCTGTGTGTACGCATGCTTGTGTGTATGTGTTTGCGTGCGCCAAACGGGTATACTGGCCATAGATTGGGGGAGTTGATGAATCACCCTTGTCGTTCAAAAGGCAATCCCTCCCTCCTCAGTATGCAGCCTTGTCTGCTTAGTGCTTCCACCACAGCTTCGGCTGATATTAAAAGGCTCTGCTGGCTCACATTAAGGCTGGCACCATGCGCGCCGACGCGCATCCACACACGCGCACACACAAACATTAGGGGTAGTTTTTCAGCACTGAGTACAGATTAGGTGTGTAGGAAACATCACTCAGCTGCAGCAAGGAGGAGCAGGAACAGTGAGGGAAAAAGACAAAAGTCAAGAACAGAATTTAAACCAGCTGCTGCTGACATCTCTCTCCGTCTCTGTGCGCCTGCCTCTGCGCTCCAAATTAGTTTTAGGAGTGGAGGAAGGACTGTCAGTTGTCTGTCATTTCAAAGACACAGACACTGGAGTGAAACACAGATGATGCCAAAGAAAGTGTTGTAAGCACGAGCATATTCTGTAAAGTTCTGAGCCCTAATTAAACTGTCCCACACACTGATGAATCTGCACGTGACACACATTGAGAAAGATCGGTTTGATTAGACCTGAATTGCCAGAGTTTTTTTTTTAATTGTATGTATATTAGATGGTGGTTGTGTCGATACTAGAGAAAATCTCTTGCACGTTTGTGTACACAAAGTTAACATAGACTTGGAGACCTATTCTACATTCATAGACATGTAATACACCTACACTCACGCATGAGCACATTCACACATCACAGATGCACAAATGCGGCATGTAGTCATCTGGCAATAAAAGTGGGGTGCAACCACGAGCTGGTCAATTACTTGTCTTGCTCCTATTTGTGAATGCTGTCTTTTATTGAGCTTGGGCGGATGCCTGCTGTTGATTAAAACGGCTGGTCTGCAGCTGGAGACAAGGCCAGCTGAGATAGCTGCATACATTCACATTTACTGCACACAGTCTTAACTGCGAGGAAATTCACACCTCTATTTGAGATTGAGATTAATTTTCTGCACCATGTGGCTTGTCTTCCCTCTTTAGCATGCTCCGTTCTTATTACAGGAGCATCTGCTCCATGATGATGATGTAAATGAATTTCGAATGTAGATTATTTTATATCCTGCTGAAATGAGCAGCGTTCACCAGAGGGAATGATTTCTTATGTTTTCGTATATCTTAATTCAAGCGCTGTCTTTTCATCCCGATTTTTTTAGAATTTGCATTCTCCCAGTGTGGATCTGTGCTGTCAGGTATTGTTAACTGTCGACAAGCACTTTTTGCAACAGATAATTAGAGCTTAGGTTGTAGTAGCATCCACACCTCCATTGATTTGTAGAATCTCTAATCCCCCCCCCATCTTTCCCTCCTTCTCCCCCCTCTCTCTCTCAGACTCAGCCTCTCCCTTCCTTTAGGAGCAAAAAGCTCTACTCATCTGTTTTCTTTGTATGAATTTCCAGCCATGCATTAGTCTCCCTGACATGTTCAAGCGATGCTTTATTTAGCTTGTCGGATTCTGCAAATAAACGCAATCTCAGGGTTTATGGAAAAATGGATAAAAATTAGATTGTAAGGTATTGATCTGGATTGTGAGTAGTTGGTGGGGGTGTTGTGTGTGCGTGTGTGTGTGTGTGTGTAGTGTTGGAAGGGGGGGCAGCTCTCATCTGTGTGAGAGAGGAGGAGGGTGTTGGGAGGGGGGCAGAAATGAAGCCGTAATTCAGGGCTATTGAACCCCCTGCCACTGGCGGCATCGATCGCCAGGCAGCGCTTATGAGATCACACCTGAGCACTGGAGACTGCAGAGGGGAGGGAAGGACGGGGAGCCAGAGGAGGAGGGGGGAAGGAGGGGATGTGACGAGGGGAGAGAAGGGGAGAGGGGGGGGGTATGAAGGAGTGGAGAGTAAGAAAGGAGGTTGTGATATGATCAGCTCCTTACCCACTGTCTGAGGGCCTGTTAAGGTGTTAACATCAAGCCTCAGAGCCAATTACCTAACCCTGCAAGTACACTAGCCACTCACCTCCCCGCGCACAAAGTGTTGTGACACCGGAGGAGAAGGAGACAGGGCAACTGGACGCCGACTGGAGTTTCCCCTCCTCCTCCTCCTCCTCCTCCTCCTCCTCCAGCTCTCCTCCTACCCTTCTGTGTTTCCAGGACAACTCCACTGTTCTGACCTCTCAATTATCCCTCCTTCACCCCCGCCTCCCTACCTCTTTACGCCCCAAACATCCACCCCTTTTTACTCCACCCCTCGTACCTCCAACACCCCTGCTCTCCACCACCCCCCCCACTCCACCCACCCTAGCCTCCTCTCCTCCTTCCCCTACCTCCCCCCCCTCCGCAACCTCACCCCTTCATACACACTCCCCCTGCGGCTCTGTGGGTTATTATAGTGAAATATGAAGCGATGTGGATTCTAGGCTTCATGAAATTTCCATGAGCATTGATCTGATCTGATGTGGGTGATTGCTAGGTGAATCCCTCCAGTCCAGGGCTGTTGCTCATCTATTCATTTATTTATGGCAGTTATGTTTTACTGGCTTTGATTTGCTCTTCTGGAGAGCGACAGCTAAGGATTATAAATATACCTGTATAGGAGAGTGTGCTTTGAATCCTGGAGTGTAGCAGCGTACCACTCCTCTTTCGAGGCAAAGGAGTTTTTTTTTTTTTTTTCTCCCAGCACTAATTCCTGGTGTGAAATGTGAGATATTGAGCATGGATATAAGGGCATAAAAAGCCAGGATAATCCCCAAAGAGACACAGCCAGGTAGTTAGTGGTGCGCGTTGTCCCCCACATACTCCTCTTCTGGTTTATGGTCCTTGAAAACGAGCAGAGACAATATCACTTCCTCCCTCAATTACCAAAATTGTCTCTTTATTTGTAATAGGGGTATCTCTGTATGTCTTGGGGTTTTTATGCTATTGTTCACTCGAGGCTCATTTGGCACATTGTGGAGAACTGATAAAAAATTCATCATAAAAACAAAAGCCTTTGAGATGAAAGAGAGGATGTTGTCGGAACAATCCCCTCCTCAGACTGCAGGCCTAATCCAGGGCAAATCCTCCTTAAGGCTTTAGAGAGATCAGAGAATAGGGAAGTAATGTCAAATATTTGTCCTCAGAAATAATTCATACTTTATTTGTTGCATGTGATCATCTCATTGTTTTGGCTTATTTTATCAGTGGACCAGCTGGCCTGTAATGTGTGTCATTCTTCGGAAGCTGAGCCTGCTTCTGGCATCTCGACTTCTACTTTTTCCTCTCTGTACCCTCTTTTGCTTCCAGCTATTCACCTTTCCTTTCATTCACTCTTATGGATTACTGGGATGGTCCGCTGGGAGAGCTGTCCAAATACGTTTGTGTTGCCAAAACAGAGCATCACCTATTCTTGCTCCTGTGCTCTCTCTCTCTCTCTTTTTTTTTTTTTTTTGGTTGGTGTGTGTGTGTGTGTTTGCGGCTCAGGAGGAGCCATGGTGAAGTCACTAGAGGTCCAGCAGGACAGCTTGTACTCATAGCCTCTAGGGGCCTTTTTCTGGGGGCCGCCTAGTCAGCCTGGCTGCTCAGATGTGAGGCGAGCAGGGCATCAGCCCTCAGGAAACGTCCAAGCTGCGACCCACAGGGGAAACAGACGGACGGCGTAAACACATACAGGCGATTCTCACGCATAATGGCTCCTTTTTCTTTCTCTTTTAACGCAAAGCCGCATACGTGGCCGCAAACTCTGCGCAGGAGCAGCATCTTATGGGCCAGAGAAGTAGTCAAGACTTTGCACTGACTCCTCGGGCTGCCAGGGGAGGAGGGTAAAAGACAGAGGAGAGCGCGCGAGAGACAGTACATTAGGAATGAATTATGTGGAGAGAGCACTTATCCAACAATCCTCCTCTGAAGTGTTTGTACTATAAGCCTCAGATCTTCATTGTATTTATTCTAATGTTTAAATATTCATGGTAAATCTTCTCATATTCAATTACCGTAGCACGACCACAGCATGCAGAGAGAGTGCTTTCTCCCTGCTGCCTGGATGATCTGACTGTGTGTGTGTGTGTGTGTGTGTGTTTTGGTGTGCATGTGAGAAACTGTCTGCATGTGTGTGTGTTTAGCTTGTTCCCCGGAGCGATCAAGCCTTTGTTATATTGGAACCAAGCTCTGTAATTGCTTATATTAGTCGCTGATCAACGCAAGACCACAGGACACACACACACATGCACACAAGCACACATTCACTCCGCCTGATTCCTGACAGTCTTTTTATTAACCACCAAAGCAGGCGACAGAGAGAGATTCATTACATCACAGGCAAACAAAGACACACACCAGACTTAATAGAGAACACCCACATTTTCAGCGTGTTTAGTTTAATGTTGAAATATTCATGTAAAGCCGCGCTCGAGTCACTCATGTCTGCCGTCACTTGTTCCTCCTGCTGTATCTCTCAGTTGCTCTTGAACAGTAGGGGTTTTCATTATTAAGAATCAAGTAATAAATGTTTTTTTTTTTTGTCTCGCTCTCTCTCTTTCTCTTTCTTTCCGTCTGTTCCCTCCATGCTTAGCACTGAACGAACCAACCATAGACTACGGCTTCCAGAGGTTACAGAAGGTCATCCCCAGACATCCCGGAGACCAAGAGAGATTACCCAAGGTACAGTAGCCCCTCTCCTCTTATGTGTCTAAGCTTATGCTGGTTGCCAAGTGCAATTATTTTAGAGGAACATGTCTTGGTGACAGTGGTACAGAGATGTATTGAAAACTTCTTGAGTTTCATAGCACATATGGATATATACATGGCACAAGGGCAGCATGACCTCATGCACAGAGGGATAACTGTGCGCGCTCGACAGTAGACCATACATGACAGTACGCAGTGTGCACATAAACATTTAATCGTATGTCCATGGTCATTTTCTGTTCAAACAAACACTTTATTTGTGCAACGAATGCACAAGCAACTCTATTCATCCTTCCACCGAGTATAAGGTCATTTAGACTGGCAAAGTGGGAGAGGAAAAGGGATAGATGGAGGGAGGAAAAGAGAGGGGGAGAGGGAGAGAGAGAGAGAGAGAGAGGGAGGAAAGGAGGTTGAAGGGAGAGAGGAAGAGAGAGGCAGAAGCAGGTTAGGTGATCCATCATAGCTGTCCAGTCTTACCTCCTGCTGGGTCAGTGGATCGAAGTCAACCCCGGGTGGACTTTATTACTTCCAGCACACACACACATCCACAAAGCAGCGTATACACACTCACGCACACACACACATAGAAATGCACACACACACACACACACAAGGCTCACCATGCCTGTACGTGTACACACACACAAACTCAGTGGAGGGAAGTCACCATGAGGCAGAGATGGAGAGCCCAGGTAGATGCAGAAGGAAGATAGAGAAATCACTTGTCCTCGCTGCGTGTCATGTCTGGTGGATACAAGACTTGTCCCGGTGAGTTCTGGTCTTTAGCCTATCAACCCCCTGTATCTCTCTAAATATCTTTGTATCCATCCATCTCTTTTCCTCTCCTCCTCTTTCTCCCTCACTCGGTGGTGTCTCTTTCTCTTCTAAATGAACAGCGGTAGCTGGCAGGCCTGGTTGTTCATTTCAGCTCTATTGATTTGTGCCTTTATTGAGGTAATAACAGTTTGTCGACCACACTTCTCTCAACTGTTGGCCTCAATCATTAGAGAGGGGCAGGAGAGGGGCATGCGCTGGCAACTTCTCGAGCTACAAATGTCCATTCACGGTTACCTTGGCAAAACCTCCCCACGGTTGTTCTTAGGGTCAGTGTTTAAATGAGATTAAACTGACTGGGAATATAATGTATTCCATTCTTTTGCCACCTTTTTCGCAAGGGGGATTGTTAATGAACCCAAACACACTGAGGAGGGAACAAGCAGGATATATGCCAATGCCTGTTTTATCTCTGTATGTTGTGGTAATGATCCAGCGTCCAGCTGAAAACAGCCCCCATACTGTGCTGCAGCTAATAGTCAGGCAGTCAGAGTGAGGAGGGAGCACTGGGTAGCCAGACTGCAGGGTGTTTAGCTCAGGCTGTGCAGTAGCTGGGGGTCTGGGGCCGGTTAATGAGTGACCGCCCTGCCAGACGAGGCCAGGCTCTGCTCTGGATCAGGTTCCCCTTCCTGTTGACGTCTCTGTGGGCCTGACTTTACGGGAAGAGACCCTGCGCCCAGGAAATGGTCTCCCCTTACAGCAGCAGAGCTAGGGAGGCAGCACGGCGCTAACCACATTTATCTGTTTATCAGGATGACTCTGGAGCGCTGCCTAATCGCGTTTAGCTACTGGACAGATCCCTCTGCTAACGAGAGACTGATAGGTACAGACAGAGCCCAGGACCGAGAGAGAGTGATTAATAGAGAGGAGGAGGGAGGAGAAGAAGAGAGAAAGTAGTTTTTGGAGACGCAGGTGAGGAGACGGCAGATGTTGGAGGAGGAGATGCATCGAAAGCAAGGAGCTGGTGCAGAGAGAGAGGCGAGACATGACTTAAATAAAGTGACTGAGGTTTCGCTCGTCCTCCTGTAGCACTGTTTCACTCCAGCTGCAGATCTGTTCGTGTCCTAATGCCTCACACTTCCCTCATTTCCCCTCCTCCCCCCCCCTCTCTTCTTCCTCCTCCTCCTCCTCCTCCTCCCCCTTCATCCCCTCCTTCCCTTCATCCATCCATCTACCTATCTAGCAATCCCTGGGAGGCATGGGGCGTCGAGGAAAAGTAGGGAGAAGGAAGCGAGGAGCGGTGCATACATACTAAAGAACCACTTACCTTCCTAGGGCCTCTACATCTCTCAATCACCTCAAGCAGGCCTCCTCTCCGGTCTCCCCTCTTTTCCGTCTCTCTCCTCCCTCCCTCCCTTCCTCTCCGCCTCCCACCCAGATAGTGCTAGTAATGGGAGGTTAACACAGAGGCAGCGCTCCCATTATTGAGTGAATTTAGCACCTCGGACAGCGCTCTACAATCTTTATTGCTTTGCTGACCCTCTCGTCATGTCCTGGGTGTGCTCGACAGCCTCCACATGTGCGTGGCTGCGTGTGCGGTTACGCCTCCCTGTGCATGTGTGTGCGCGCGCCGGCGTGTGTGTGTGTGTGATATGAGGGTCTGATTGAAAGGCGGTGTGTCACGGAACAGAGAGCACACATGCTCCAGGGCTTGTTCACAGCGAGGGATACACTCAGGAGAGTATAACGCACAGCGTGTGTGTGCGCGAGTGGAAGAGAAAGAGGGGAGAGAAAGAAACGAGGGGGAAGGTTGGAGGGGAGGGGGCTGCAATTTTCTGGTTGTCGCGCCTCCAGCATATATCCTGGCCCCGGCACATTAACTTTTAAAAAGGGTTTCGTAGGGCTGTAGGTGTCTACATCACATGCACACATAGAGCGACTGCCTGGAGTCACACACTCATACACTCAGGGAGGAGGAAAAAAAAAGAATAGAGACAGAGCGAGGAGAGAAAGGAGGGTAAGCGGTCGGAAAATGAGCGCGGAGAAGCGGCAACACCACGTTAGGATAAATGTTTGATGTGGGAAATTCCACTCGGCGGTTTTCACCTGAGCAATGATGTTCTACATTTATCACACAAAGTGGATGCAGGGCTATTCACTCGGATCATTACCAGGGTTAATACAGGGCAGGAGACGGGTGTGTCCCAGCTGACGAGCGGAGTTGTATAGCCGTCAACCTGATGATATGTTGTGTTAAATGAGATTGATGCGTGATCATGTAGGGAGGGGAGGGGGGGGGACACCGAGATTCATGATCTGGCAGTGACAGAAGGGAGGGAGAAGATGTAGAAGATGGTTGACTGATAGAGAGATATAGGCTCATGTTTTATTCACAGATAACAGTATCTTCCCTCTGCTCTCCCAAACTGCCCAGCTAGTAACAAAGTGCTGGGATAGGCCCATTTCTCTTCCTCTCCCTTCCTCTGTCTGCCTCTTTCCTCTCTCGCACTCTCTGTTCTGCATTCACAGCATAATGTAAGAAGTGAAATGTAATAAAAGTGACTGAACTCTTTGAGCCGTCACACTCATGATCAATCCCCTTCCTCTGTCTGCGCTTGATTGTAGGAGGTGATTTTAAAGAGAGCGGCAGACCTGGTAGAGGCCTTGTACGGGATGCCTCACAATAACCAGGTAAACACGCACACACACAGAAAAACACGAGCATTCACACACACATTTCAGCACAAACATCAATATCTCCTCTTAGATGAGATTATGCTTGTGGTTTTCGGACCAGTGGCGGCATCAAAGGCGGTGTCTCCGCCGGCCCTGAAGCCCCCCCCCCTGCTGCGTTCGTGGAAGATCTGGGACCCGCAAACATACACATGGGAATATGTCAGCGCTTTTATCAGCTCGTACGCCGAGGAGGGAAGGGAGAAGAAGTACAATGAACACTAAACGTAGAGGGTGGAGAGGAGAATAACGAGAGTGCAGAGGCAGATGGAGATGAGGAGGAGACGTGGGATTAAGGAGGAGGATGGGAAGCAAGGGAGGGAAGAGGCAGGCTAAAGATTTGATGAGTCTGGTAATGAGCATTTCCTCCATTTACTGGAATCAATCTCACCACTACCAGTGACCACTGATAAAAAGCACTCAGCTCCTGCTTGAGTTTACACGCGCAATATCTTGAGTGGAGATCTAGCATTCTTGTGAGGCTATAAACTCAAAGGTATATTCTCTCTTCTACGTTGCTGAACACATCTTTTTTTCTTCCCCCCCCTCCTTCCTAATTGTCAGGAGATGATCCTGAAACGAGCAGCGGATATCGCCGAGGCCCTCTACACGACGGTGCCGCGGGGGCACAACCAGCTAGCCAGCCTTGGCAGCAGCTCCGTCCACGCTGGCATGATGGCCGTAAACTCCTTCAGTGGGTCGGAAGTGGCACAAACAGCCAATCAGGGTGAGCAACAGGAAACGAGCAAAGACACCTTTTTTTCTTTTTTTTTCACTTTTTGGGATGGATAGTAAAAAACGAGTGGTGCAATAGAGGATTTATTTTTCATGTGGGAAATTCAGAGAAGGTGATTTAAGAGTGTGGAGCAAATAAGAAAGCCTGAAAAAAAAAGGAGGACAGGAGGGAGGAGGAGGAGGAGGAGGAGGAGGAGGCAGCAGCTGTAAGAAACAGGGGAAACTTGAAAGAAGGAAAGAAACGACGGTGAGAGAGTGAAGAATGGAGAAAAAGAGAGCCACGGATGGAGTACGATGGAGAAATATGAGTGGGTCCTAGGGGTGTGTATATTAGACTGGGGTCGGCCCCTGTCTGACAGAGAGAGATGTGGGTGCAGTCAGTGGTGATTCATCACATGTATCAGGGGAACAAGAGGAGAGTGGATGGACCAGCCTCTGGATATGTCTCAATAATTCCAATGAGCTCCCTATGTCCTTCATCTTCATCTGAGATGAAGAAAACAGCAGATATCAGCTTCTTAGTTTTGTTCCCAAATCATAGCAGATGAGAACTGGTGCTACCTTATCATCGAAGACCAGCGCAGTGAAGACAACAGCGGTGAAGGGCAGCTCTTGTTGCACTAGAGAGTCCTGATGTTCAATTCCAGCTGCTCTTTTTTTTTTTTTTTTTTTTTTCCTCCACTGTCAGCATGTTGGACCTGAGGTGTATATTTATAGTCTTCCTTCCTACATTGTCTTCCTTCTGTTCGCTGCTCCTGTAAAGCATAAAGTGGAAAAAGGTCCTGTCAGAAATACATGCTTCATTCTTTCTAAATTACAAGAGAGCTGCCGAGGCCTTTTAGTGTTAATTGCCTTATCAATATATCTCATTCTGGAGAGGAGCCAGTAAGGTTAAAGTCCTCTTGTTTCAGCAGTTGGATTGCTTCTAGATCCCTCTTGGATCATTCTTCCTGCGCTCTCTTCATTGCTTTCCCGCTCTGCCGTATGTTGTCTAAGATTTTTCGAAAGTTTCTCTTGGCTTTAAACACTACGTCCACTTGTCAGGCAAGAGGAAACGAGTACTTGATGGCTCTGCATGTAGGCTTTTTTTTTTTGTTTTGTCTGTCATCTGCTAAATCCCCCCCTAACACCTCGTCTCTCTCTCTCTCTCTCTCTCCCCCTCTCTATCTCCGTCTCCCTTTCTTTCTCTGTCCATAGGTTTCAGTAGGAGTACAAGCAGTGTGTCCCCTCATGGTTATGTTCCCAGCTCCACTCCCCAGCAGAGTAGCTACAGCTCTGTCTCCACTAGCATGAATGGCTACGCTAACTCTGGCATGGCAACCTTGGGCACCTCGCCCAACTTCCTCAATGGATCTGCAGGCAACTCGCCCTATGCTAGTGAGTAAACACACCACATCCTAGGGGGAAAAAAAACAACAAAGGGTGACAAAATCGGAGCACAGAAGGCAAAAAGATTAAATCGAGGCGCTTTGAACATGACGGAATAAGCCTTTGACGGGAATTGAGAAACTGAGTCGGAAACAAGAATTGACACACGAGAAGAAAGTGTTGCAGTTCAGCTGGCTCATCTGTTTCTTTAAGAGCAGAGTCAAACGCAAATCCCCACTTTATTGGCCAGGGGAGCAGATCACCGAACACCCCCCCCCTCCCCTCCACCTCCGACACACACACCCCACCACCTCTGCTCACACACATTCACCCTCTACATTAAAGACCCTTGATTAAATCAATAAACTAATTGCTAGAGAAGCAATTCCATTTCAGCTCTTTGATTCCTGGGTGTTAACAAGTATTTTAACAGGCTCATCGGCCCCACACAGACACTTTCAATCAATGGCCCCTCGGCCTGCCTTTGTAGGTCCAATTTTCATTAATTGATTAGTTAGGCCCCTTCATAAATGGATTATGACTTTATTGCAAGGATTTGTCAGGAAGAGCCATAAAAGCTAAGTGTTGGATAATAACAACAATAAAGGCAGAAGCAGATATCAGAGGGCAGGTGAAATACGACTCAGTTGATTGTAAAATCACTGAGGGGGAAAATGCTCTTAGTGTATTAGCAGACAAAAGACAAACCGAGGAGAAGTGGATAGATGGGATGATGTCAGAGGAAGACAGGATTTGGGTTGTGAATATAACCTTCTGGTCATTTTTGTGTGTGTGTGTGTGAGTGCGTCTGACTCTCATGATGGTGATTTACGGGAGCCGGAGTAAATCCAGCTCACAAATATCTTGTGTTAAGCCTTCAATGTATTTTCAAGAATCTAAATAAAACTTTGTAGAGCTTTTGTCGAAAATGTTGCTGCCTTGCATTGTAAATCTTAACAGAATTAACTGGAGCGCCAGTGATAGTGTGCAGCTGGGGTTAATAAATTCACACATTGAGGACTTTTAGGCTCACATTTATAAAAAATCATGGCAAAATCAATCTGTTCCAATAGAAATGCAATGATCAGTGTTCAAGCGTGGTCAACTTTGACCCATAAATATGCGTTGTTGACCAATAGCGAGCCCTCTTGAATCCCCTTGTGTTTGCATCTTTGCTAACTTGCATGAACTCATTATTCAATTAAAAACTTGACGATCCAGAGAAGAAAGTTGAATGTGGTTGTGCCTCTTTGTGACAACAACCGATGTTTAAGATAAAAAAAAAAAAAAAAAACAGCCCACAAAGAATTGGTGAAGAAATATGTTGGTTTCAAGCAGATGGCAACAGCTCATTTGTTAAATTTATTGGAACCACTGGCTCTGGCTGTTGAAAGCTCTTGCATGGTTATCTGTGATAAAGGTGACGTGGGAGAGCCTTGTTTGTAAGTTGCCCTGAAAACAAATTACGGGTACCGCACTCCGAGTAGGTGAGGAGTTGTTTACCAACCCACTTCACCCCTTGAGCACAGAATGAGTCATCAAAACAGACTGATCAGAGGGAGAGAAAAAAAAAAATTTAAGAAAAGGCTTTGGGCTGTTTTCGATTGCAAGTTTCCAACTAAACACATTTTTTTGTCTTAGCTATGGAATATCTCATTGCCAGGTAATTGCTTAACAACACAAGAGGTTGCAAAAACAAGTCTGAGCCAGTTGATCTGAGTCCAAAACATTATCCCTCCTGCCATCATCCATTGACCAGTCCCTTTCTGTTCGTCCCGTCTGCCCGTCCTCTGCCCTCGGCCCTCTCTCTAACTCCCCCTTTTCTGTCTTCATCTTCTCCTCCGCCGCCGCTCCCTCCTTCCCTGACATGAACCCTACGACCCCCCGTCCCTTAAACACCCTTTCCTACCCGTCTGTCTCCTCTCAGTCGTCCCGTCCAGCCCGACCATGGCGTCGTCGACCAGCCTGCCCTCCAACTGCAGCAGCTCCTCCGGCATCTTCTCCTTCTCTCCGGCCAACATGGTGTCCGCCGCCGTCAAGCAGAAGAGCGCCTTCGCCCCCGTCGTCCGACCCCAGAACTCCCCTCCTCCCACGTGCACCAGCGCCAATGCTAACAGCCTGCAAGGTAAGAAGCAAGTAGCCACCTCGCATTGATTTACATGAATTTGGAGCCACAGTTTATGAGGGTTTAAGCGGTAAAAACTTATGTTCATCTTCAGGCTTTTCTCCGCCTCTTATGATAACAATTTCTCACTTTTGCTCCCACTTCTTCCTCCAATCTTCCTTTTCTTCCTCCTCTTCACTCCTGGTTTTTCCTTTCTTTGCCTTCCTTGATTCCCCCCCCTCCTTCCTCCTCCTCCACTCTCCTTCCTCACTGTAGATCAGTCTTTTGTGGACTCTAGCAAGTACTCATCAGCCAGCTCTCTGCAGGGCCTGGCCTTCTCCTGAAGTACGTTATCCCTCTCTTTCGTTTTCTCTGTTTTCTTTCCACCCCGCGCTATCCCACACCGCTCATTTGCACCATCCTGCCCTACCCTTCCTTCTCGTTTCTGTTTTTATTTGTCACTCTTGACTTGTCCGAGAGACGGCATGCCACGCCATATGTGTTCTATTTCCCGTTTTCGCTTCCTGCTTCCTGCCCGCGCTGCAGTGGGTGTCTCTGTGGGGAGGGAGGGAGGCGGTCGTTATGACACCACGGGTCATTCTGTTCTCTCATTTCCACCGAACGCAGCGCCGGGGCTGTTCGTCTAGGCAGGATGTTGTATGGTGTTGAGATCCTGAGAGAGAGAAATGATGGATGGGAATCTTTATCAGAGCCCTAAGCTAAGCACTTCCTCACTTCCTCTGTCGGCGTTGATGAGCGCTGACCACGGTGACCCAAGGGCCAATGGCCACTGTGCGGGGATCACACCGACACACACCCACGCGCACGCACACACACACACACGCACACACACCGCTCTGTTAATCCCAACGAGCCGGAGACACTTAGGAAATAACCTGGGAATTAGTGGATTGGAGAGAGAGGGGAATCAATAGGGAGCCAATATGTTATATGAAAAATTCCTCCCCGTGATGGCTTCTGTGTAAAAAAAAAAAATGGGAGAGGGGAAAGGGGTGATGGGGGGTTGGTGGAGCGCGGGGAGGTGAAGATGTAGGAGAGCATGATATAAGAAGGTAAAAATGCGAGCAGAGCTGCCTGTGTCGAGGCTCATGGGCTCCATTTCCATGTTCGAGCGCTGCGCCTAATTTCATCACCTCTGTCATCCCACGTCACTGCATTCCCCCTCTCCCATGTTTGAATTATGCTCCACGATGCACAATTGGCTTCCACAGTGTAACTGCTAACAATTAACAGTGGCAGCTCTCGCATGAAGCTGTTCAGACGGCCTGTGAAAAGTTGAACGATGCTGTCGCCGCGCGCCAAGTTAGCGGCACAGCGGAGGGAAAATGTTTTGATTCTGGGGCCTCGGAATGAAGAGATAATGAGGGAGAGTAGTCTTTGTTCGCCAGATGCTGGAGCACATTTCTGTTATGTGACTGTTGTGATGACAGATGAAACCCAGCAATCACATGACTGACCTCTCTCTCTCTCTCTCTCTCTCTCTCTCTCTTTGTTTCTTTCTTTCTTTACCCCTCAATCTCCCATTCGCTCCCGCTTCCTCCCCCTCTTTTCCCACCAAACAGCGATTCCTGGGATGATCGTTCCACCCATGTAGAGGATCTGGGATAGCTGGAGATTTGGGAATGTTGAGAGGAAAAGACACAGTAGCGGAGTCTGGCGAGTCTCTGTTATGCTCCGGAGCTGAACTAAAGGAAGTCAAGATAAGACGCAGGACTCTGTTAAACTCAGGCCTTTCCATTGGGATTTCATCTGAAGGGATAGGGGAGAAGGAAAAAAAAAAAAAAAAGGGGACAATATGAACCTTTGTGATGTTATTTCCCTCTTGGTTGAATTAGTGTAGCTTCTCTGACACCGCGTTGGATGGAGTGTATAGAGACTGATAGTTTGCCCACAGTGTGACACTGACCTCATGAAAAGAGCATTTATTTATCTTTATGTTTATGCCTGTAAGGTTTGGGTTTGATTACTGGAGGCCCCACGCCGTCTCGCAATCCGTAACTCGCACAAACAACAGTGAAGTGTTGGTTTGACCATGAAGTTTACGTAACTTCTGTCACAATAGGAGATGCTTTCTTCAGCTTAGCCGGCTCGCTAAAAAAACCACATAACAACACACTGGCCAAATGGAAACAAAGGTCAACAACACAGAAAACAAAGAAATACAGAAACGAATAAAATCAACCCTCAATTTTGCTGCTAAGTATCCCATAAAGCTAAAAGTGGTCTATCAAAATCGCCCTATGCTGTTTCAACATCAGAAACCATGCCTTTTTTTTTCTTTCTTTCTTTTTTTTTTCTCTCATTTGGTTTGTTTGTTTGAATTTTGACAAAACTGTGAGGATTGAGCTGTTTGCAATATGCTTTTTCTGCTTGTCATGTGAAGAAAAGGTGATGATTTTAGCCAAAATTGACATTTTGTCTGAGATTTTAGTGAAGACTTGAAAAGCCAGAGGATGTGTGCGTCCAGCCAGCACTGTACTGAAGGAGTCTAGCAAATATCAAATTAGAATAAATGCGTGATATATGTGATATATTTTTGTATATAAAAAAAACAAAAACAAATGTTGAATTTTTCATTTGACATTTCTTTTTCTTTTTGCAATAGCTATAGTTTGAAATGTAAACATTAAATGTCTTAAGGCAGCTTCTCAGTACAGAAGATAGATTTACTGTGTGTTGTCAATATCTCATCTGCTAAACATGAGAAACATGGATTTGGATACAAAAAGGGGATTCCTGTAAAATATCCTATAAATAATGTATTTATCCCTTGTATTTGTACATTGACTCTCACCCTCGTTTAGTTGTGTTGTGTAAGTTTAATACAGTAAGTGAACATATTTCACAGTGTTTTGTTTCATTATTTACTGTTGTCTCTCACTATTTAAATGTGACTTTTTTATCTTTTTTTTGTCGTTGTTGTTATTTGTTCGTTTGTTTTGTATGTTGATTGTTTTTGCATTGGTATACCATGCTTTCATTTGTTGATTCAAAACATGCCATTGTCTATTTTTGTATTATTTGTAAGTTAATAAAAAAAATCTTGTTTTTTTTCCTTATGAAAATGTTTATTGTATGGCAAAAAAGTAGCATCTTATTCAGAGTATTTGGTTGAAGTAGATTTTTTAAGAATATAAACACACATTAATATATACTGTAAATCTATATCTTTTTGTTTGAACTCTTTGAGGCTTTCAGATTGATACTGTTCTTGAACTGATAATATGCATGGGTTCTTCTCTTGAGTGACTCTTTTTTTGTGTGTGTGGAAACCAAGAGAACTAAGAAATTGCTCTGTTTTTCTTTCTTTGTGTTCCTCTTTTTTCCCCCTCTCTGTTCTTTCTTTTCCTGTGTTATTTATGCCTGCTTACATACTGTATCTATATACTCTTTCGTTGTTTTTTTTTTTCTTGTTGTTTTTTTTTTTTTCTGTCACTGTAATCTTTACCAGCAGTCTAGATGCCTTAACAATGCAAACCCATTCTTCATTCAATCACGTGTACAGTTTTCTACCCTCACCACAATTGTCTATTGCCACAGAGGAATTCATGAGAACTTGGGGACAAAGCACAAACCCACTCTGTTTGGTGGTGAAGCCAGACTAGAATACAAAGAGCCATAATTCAACGATCACACACACCCCGATGTACTATAATACTACAGCAATGGCACGCTTTGAAGGACAGGCAGAGCAGGCCTGTCTCAGCTGTGCTGGCTGCACATTAGTGTTCACAGAAACACTTGTGTCTTTTTTGTAGCGATTATGTAGCCTTTTTTTAATTAAGTAAAGGAGTCATTTCAACAGCATGACAGTAATATATCTCATGAACCACGGGATCACAACAGTTTGACAACACGGAGCTGTTTTAATTGTAGTACAGAGGGGCGCACAGTGAAGACAAGCACTGTCACAGCACAATTTTAATCTCACACATGGAGTCGTAGGTCTGACTCCAGTACCTGACAGCCGATCCCCCCCCCCCACTCCTTCCTCCCACCAGTCCTTCTCTCCCTGTATTAGCCTTTGGACAACGCAGCTTCATTACAAGCTAAACAGAACAAGAACATGTGACGAAGCATGAAAAGGGAGCTCCTTGGCCCATCAGCCATTTCTGTAGTCTTTTCTTTGTGTCTGCCGTGTGTCTTCAAGCTGTTGCTGGACAGAGAATAGGGCTTTTCTCTCTGCTTTTCTTTTTCTAGAGCCTGGTTTTGTTAAGTGGGTAGAAAGGACCGTTTTAACAGAGGCGCCTGCTGACAGACGAGTGTTTTTCAGGCACTTGTGTGCCTGTGCCGGTCTGGGCCGGGGCGGGAGGGGCCGCAACATATCTGTTTCAAATGAACTACAGAGGTCTGTTGTCATACAATGGCATCTTTGTAAGCAAAGTTCCATCCTGAATATGAATATCAGTAATGGGTGACAAAGTTTTGTATTTAGGTAACAAACAACAAAAAAAAAAGATGCAAACCAAATAGCTGGTGTCTATTTTTTCCTCTGTTTGTCTTTGACTGCAAATACACTGAACAGCTCTACGATATAAGGGAAGAAAAAAATTCTACTGTATAGATTGTTATTGTTTTTGATGAAAATTGAGCTGTAAGATAACTTTTGGACTCTCACAATGTTGAATTAAAGTTACCTCTTGTCTGTGACTTTGTCAGGTGTCATTTTATTTTTAAACGTGACTCGTTTCATTATGATCAGGGAGCAAAACCGTGATTCATTCAACCCATGGAGCACCGAGGAGGATGGTTATTATGAGTTTCTTCTCTTTTTTTTTTTGACTGAAAATGTCTCCAAATAGCTGACAGGCAGTTGACTAAGAATAGAGAAGGACTGGCTTCGACTAATTCCACAGGTCAGAAACAGACCTGCATCCCTTCCCCCGCTAGGCTCCTTTCTCTAATGAATCTAATTCATTAATGCATTACTGATGGCATGGTGAACATGGTTAGCCTGACAAGTTTCCTCCTAAACATATTAGTTAATGATGATTCCAAGGTTATTAATTGCAAAGGCACCAGCCCACCATAATTGAGTCATCATTTGCATACCCGGTCATCAGCAGAAAATTAATTTCTTTTTTATTTTTTGCATATCTAATTTAGAAGGCTCCGATTGGATTAGCTTGTGAAAACAGCGGATCCCAGGATTCTGCTGACCTCAAAGTATTTCCAGGGTCTCCACGGTAACTGGAGGCTTCCGTAACGCCAAGGGGGAGAGCAAGACGACCTGGAAGTACTGATGAAATAAGGACTCGTAAACACTGTGCCTGTTTGTGTGTGTGTTTGCCTCCCTAATTGCCCCACAGGTTCATAAATGCACAGGGCTTTTTCTCCAGCATATCTAATAACAGAGTTGATAGTTTGCTGACAAACAGTAAAGTGGGTGGTAGCATGCACGATTTAGCAGTAAGAGGTGGGATATTGAATTATGGAGGTTACACACTTAGTCCTGAGGAAAATGAGTCCTGGAGCCTAATGTTTTTGATTAGCGAGCCGAGCACCAACGCTGCGCTGCACCGGGGCGGCTTCGGGGATTCAGCTTTTTCCCAAATGCAGCTTGCAGTGCAACACACACGCATTGAAACGCACACACGCTCATAAATCATAAATACACATAGACAAAAGGTGAACCCATTTTGCTCTTTATTTCCAGCAGCTTTTCAGGCCTAGATAGACTGGTCAGTGTGGGAGGAGGACAATAGGAGTGGGAGGCCGAGGGCAGCGTGGAGCCAGCAGACCTCAGCCCTCTGGAGACATAGCATTAAAGACGCTATTCCTGGAGAACTTGCTCCACTGGATACAGCCGGCAGAGCCTTCGCACATCAAGAGCGGTGCTGTTCGGGAGCTTCTTTGCTACTAGTATCCTAATGAAATATATTAATGCACACATTCCTCGCTCTCCTACTCCACCTCCTTCGTTTTCTCATTCTCCTCCCTGCATGGACACATGAAGGGAGGAAGAGCGGAGAGGCATATTTGAAAGAAAAACAGGAGTCCCCATGGGGATCCCGGATAAAGAAAGGGAAGGAAAGAAATGGAAAGGAGAGAGGATGGGAGTGAGTGTGTGTGTGTGTGTGTGTGTGTGTGTGTGTGTGCGTGTAGTTGTGGGGGGGTTCAGAATGGAGGCAGACCTAGACAGTGAGCAAAACACAAGGAGAGGAGGAATGAATATTAATAATATTCTGTGTTGGAAAATAGTCACAATGGACATCACAGAGACACGTAGAGAGGCAATGGGAAGCAAGTTCCATGCCTGGCCTTACTTATTGTGTGCACACGAGTCACCTTTTTGCATCTGCGTATGCACGTACGCGCAAGACAGAGCATATCGGAGTGCAGGCATACCTCGGATGAGTGTGCACTCACATTCGGGTTTGCGCTCTCGCTTACGAGGGTGTGTGGTCGTTTCCCACAGTAATTATCCCGGTGACTGTGGGTGTCTGTCTATGATCTGTGTGGTACCTGTCAGAGGGAGCCCAGCAGTGCCCGTGCTTTATATTCCCTGTAATTGCTGCTGCTAATTTACTGTGCGTTGGCCTAATGAGTAGGGAGGTGAGGGGCTGGGGTATGTAATGGATGTTAGAGAGATAGAGATAGAGAGATGGATTTCACCACTGCCGGCAGAGAGAGGGAAAGAAGGGGAGGAGGCCGGCGAACTGTGTGTGTTAAGCAAGCATGTAGAACACTTATCTTTATTGTTCTACTAAAATGAAAAAAAAAAAAAGAAAAACAACAAAAGATAAGCTATTTGCCTCCCTCCCTTCTACTTTCCCTCTCCCTCTTTCTCCCCCTCCTGCCTCCCCCCCCTCCGTCCTCCCCTCAGCTGACGGTACAGTGGCGACTGCAGCGAGCGCATTAGACAAGCTTTTTGTTATGTTGATTAATGATAAAAGCAAATCCATAAATAATATAGATTATTTATTCCATTTATTCACATGCTAATTAGAGCTAGGAGCAGATACCTCAGAGAGATGGCCTTTTTTTTTCTTTTTTTTTTTCCTCATCTGTTCCAGTGCAGCCACATAGACCGACTGACATTCACACTGAGGCAGAGACAGTCACATATTAATGTCATTCACACTTTGAAGCACCAATGGTATCTTGTGATGGGGACACGTCCACCCTTCATTTCTCCCTAATGAGGTCATGATAGAGGCCAGCGGTTTCTGCACACACACACACCCTCTGTTTTCGCACATGCACACGCCCTCTCCGCACACTCCTGATGAGCGCTGGATTGACAGGGTCGTCTTTGATTGATGCACCGCGGTTCTTCCACATGTTCTACAGCTCAGTCATTTAATTATGTTTCCTAAGCATCATTAAGTACCATTATATTCTATCATATTCTAATGAGAGAGGTGGCCAGTCACAGGACAAGCTAATTGGTGATTAATGTTGTGTATCAGTGAGAGACAACGCAAGATTGGCCATTTAATGACACAACACTGTATTTAAGTGCTGAATATGTAAAAACACAAACAGAGGAGGGGGTGAAATTAGAGAGGCTGTGATTGAAATCAAAACAGATATCGCCTCTTAAAGGTCTAATCTCTCACTTTCCCCTGTTGGCCTCACACACACACACACACACACACACACACACACACACACACACTCCTTGCATTATTCTGAATTGTTCACCTCTTAGCTGCATTACGCTCACTTACTCAGATAATGCTGGAACCTGTCTCGGCAGACATAACTCACCTGCTCTTCGAGATTAACCACTAACTCAGTATTGATGCACTGCTTCGCAGGTACACATGAGAGGGCACACACATTCACACACAGAGACACACACACACACACGCGGCACACAGATACAAACATCCTCATCTGGTATTGACATGCCGCGCGGCTGTAGGTGTTTCCATTTAAGGTCAGTCGATTGCCTTAAGTATGTAACGTTAGGAGGGGGGTCCGTAAACATGTCAAATTAGCAGTAATGAATGACCAGGCACTGGCAGGGGGAACTGTCAGGGTGCACGCCCAGGACAATACATTACCCTGAGTTATCCTAGTCTGCCCTCATTGTAACACACACACACACACACACACACACACACACACATAGACTGAGCAGACACAGGGTGTAAACTAGTGGGACCCATTCAGCGGTCACACACTCTGCTTTAATGGGCTGTGAGGCTGATTGGTGTCCAAGAGATGAAAAAGAAGAAAAAAGAGAAACAAGAAGAAGCAGACGCATTGTTAAGAGTACGGAAAGTTCAGGGTAAAACATTCCTAAAACAAAGTGTAAAGATTGACAGCAACGACCAGAATGGTGGAAAAAAATGGAGGGGAAAAAAATTGTATGAAAATAGATAGAGAGATAGATAGAGGACTAAGCTAGAGGGAGAGAAAACAAACTGTGGTATTTATTTTTTCTTCTCAGTGTTGAAACAGGAAAAGGACCTCTGGTTTAATAAACCATGAATCCTTTCACAGAGGGTTTGTATGTTATTCTTCGGAGAAACAGATATGCGGGGAGGGAAGGGGAGACAGAGAGAAAGAGAAGCAAGGAGCAGCAGGGAGGAGAAAAAAAAAAGAGATGCTCTGCAGCCATATGAATTTCGTTCTCCCCCCCCTCACCAAACGCGTACTTATACATACACTCCTCAGCCCCACTTCCAGGCTGTATGTTAGTTTTGGGTTCGAAGTGTGGGGATGAGGAGGAGGACGGGGGGCTACACATCCTCCTCGGTCCAGCCTGAGAGGGAAGGAGCAGCAAACGAGAAGTAAAAGACATAGTTTCCATCTGTAAACCATTAAATTCTTCTCTTCTTACTCTCAGTATTTGACAGTTTGCGAAAATGACTCTAACATATTCAACCCTAACAGAGAAAACCTTCCGTTCACCACAACAATGCATGTACATGAGTATGTGGTGGATCCATAAGGAGAAAGAAACTGTCCCCTTGAATTCCTAAGCTTGTTCTCACTGTATGCACTGCGCTGTGGATATAGTGATAAATAAACATGTACACAAACATGAACCTACTGTCTCTGTATGTTGTCTCCTCGCCTCCCGCTCTCTTCCCCCCTCTCTCCTCTCTCTCCTTCCTGTAACAAAGGTTACATTGATCATGTTTCTAAAAGAGTCTCTGTATTTCCACATGGCCCTGCCTCTGATATGTTTTTCTTGGCAGGTCCAACTTCTACTTTTGTCATTCACTCAGCATATTTTAACAAATTAGAAACATTAGAAACCAGGATCGCAGCAATGTTTTGGTTTGGTTTCGAAACTCTTACAGTCCCCACAATTATATTTCAAAACACGGGTGAATTGTTTGACAGCGGAGCGGAATAAAACCCTAAAACAACTTTTTCATTAGAAACACATGCTCGCGCAATTAGAACCCAACATTATGTTAATGTGTGTTTGCGCTGGTTCATTTGTTGCCGTGTGAAAGGTTACGCCGTGAGAGGGTTGCGCGAGGGTCCGGAGCGTGCGCCGTCGACGCGCACATGCGTGTGCTCTTGCACGTGTGAGAGTGCGAGGAGTCGCCCGTGTGTGCATGTGTGTGTGTTTAAGGGACAAAGGGACACAGTGCTCCACATAACAGCATTACAGATGGCTGTTGTGAGTGGTTGTGACAGTGAAAGCGAGTGAGTTCCCACTCCATACAGATGTACTCTGAGTG